TTGCTATGTGCCCATATGGAATCCAAGTATGGAATATACTACTATGATGGATTGGCCAACCTGCAATCACTTCTCAAACGTGGGGTCATTTCTTAGATTGGATCATCAAATGTGGTAAAGGGCAGTCAAAGTACGCTCGACTCTTCAGGATGGTATCCAGAGAAATAGTCTATACAGTCTGGACTGAAAGGAATCTGCGAGTGTTTGAAAAGAGAAGTCGTGATAGTGAATGTATTGCCCGGGAGATAGCTTATATATGCAGTGTTAGAGCCATGCATGATCTCGCTGTTTTAATTCAAAATTTTAAGTTTTGAGTTGTGTGCATAGATTGTAGTCGATAGTGAACTTTTATTGAAGATAGTCAGTTGAGTTGTGGCTGAACTATGGGTTTGTAATGTTTGCTATGGTGATTAATAAAATCATGTTAGTTACCAAAAAGAATAAACATTTTTTTTTATAAATTATGCAATATTATAAAAATTATGAATTAACTTTACTTTCTCACGTTCTATCATAATAGTTATTAAAAGTTGATTTACATGACTACAAAATTATATATACATGCTTTATTGAGTAGCATACATGTGTGTGTTGATTTTCTTTTCAGGTTCTATTTTCAAAAATATCCTGACATGAAAACAAAATAAGTTAATCATACAACAACAACAATAATGACAAAAATATAAAAATGAAGTTAACTAATCAAATAAAAACTTTAAAAAATATTTAATTATGAGTTAAAGATAAAGGAAGGATCTTGTTATCAATATTACATAATACTCCAAAAACTACAAAAAGAAGAAAAAAAAATCTCTATAAACTACAAAGAGAAGCAAAAAGAAAAAACCAAGCAGTTTTTTATAAAACAAAATTGTGATTCATAATATCATGAATTCAAAATTAATAATATTGAATGTATAATTGTAACAGAGAAAAAATGATAACCATATTAGGCATATCAAATAGTTTACCTTGTAAAATTAAATTGCACAGAAATATCTAAACAATCTTCATCCTGCAAAATCAGATCAAAGAATTAAGACAAAAAATTAACCAATAAAAGATGAAGAATAAGGAAAAATGTAAAAAATATAATCATCACATATGTCTCAAAATAGATTTTTATAAATGTAGATTTTGGGATGTCATAAATTTGTATATTAAATTACTTGAGGGTTATGAATATGAAAGGTTAGGAGTTATGAAATTTATAAGGAGTAAAATTTATGTAATTGAAGAGGTAAGAAAATAAAATAATAAAAAGAAATAAGAGAAAAATAGCAATAAAATCACAAAAAAAGATAAATAAGAATGAAGCCCTTACAGAACGCCACATCACCGTTTTCATATTCAGTTTTATTATAATATACAGATTGTGGGCATTTTAGTATTCGATCTTTACCTTTTTACATTCTCTTAGTTGATGTTATGGGTTGTACCACTTGTATTAGGATGGAGGGTAATTAACGATTCATGTTTCACTTATTCGTGGATTCTCCACAACTGTCTATTTCTTTGCATTTTAGGGGTCTTTTCTCATCAAAATCGTTTTCTGGTCCTTGTGAACGTTGTTTGGTGGAAACTTTTTTTTTTAGCTTCCAGAGATTTCTATTGTTTTGTTGATTTTAATACGTAATGTTATCGAAATGTTTGATATGAAGTCATTTGAAGAAATTTAATACACAACTCTTAACTTGTTGGTATCCAATGTTGGGCAGTAAAAATCTGTACATATTTGTCCTTTTTTTTTGCCTGAATGTGATGATCCATTGGTATATATGTCATGTTATATTTCTGAACATATATATATATATATATAAAGAACACATTTTATTTAATTTAGCCCTTTTATGAGACTTTAATTTGTTAATTTGATATAGTTCAAGTGCATTTTGTGTGATTCTTCTTAGTGATATAACCTGATCAAGAAGGTTTCTCCGCAAGGTTCATCCATCGAACGTATAATCAAGTCGTAAGGCATGGAGAAAATACCTCGAGCTAATGTTAAAATATCAGGTGCTCGGCGTTGAAATCTCAAACTTTGCATTTCTTGAAAGCTATATGTACAATTTTCACTCCAGTCCATCACCCATAGAAAAAGGATGATAGGAAGAAGATCTACTTTTCCTTAGCCTTATCACTGTAACAAAAATGATCTTTAACGATAATTATAAATGACAGTAGTTTAATTGTCGCAAAATGTGTTTTTTAAGACAATTATTACTATCAATTACATTTTAACACTCTAAATCTCGTTAAAGTCTATAGTGACATTGGATCCAATATAATTAACTAATGTCAATGAATACTCTAGCAATCTTTGTTAATGTGCATATAAAAATTATTTTTGTTGCAGTTTACAGCATAAGTAGACAAGTAACTTTTTTGACAATTGTACCAATAATTTTTTATTCTTTTTTGGGCATTGTAGCAATGGCGACAAGTTGCTATTATTGGATTCTTTAGCAAAGATTTTTGTTCTATAAATAACAGTAAATTATTCAAATATTTCTGCCATGAAATTTATTCTGTCTTTTATGAGAAGTCAAAGCTGAAAAGTATGGTTTTTGGTACCAATTCTTTCTGGCCTTATATATAGTCAACTGTCCCCTCTTTAAACTTATCACCATATTTCATTTAAGACATTCGAATTAAGTTATTTTCAATTAAATTCTGCATTAATTATACACATCAATCTCAAAGAGAAAACACCTAATTTTGTAAAAACACAAAAAAAAAAAGAAGTTAAAAATTGATCTGAAAATATCTAATTGAAACACTTCATCAGTTGTTAAGGTGTTCAATTAGAACATGATATATTACAAATTGATTTGACAAATCTTAGAATATTTCTTGTTATCGTTGAAATTATGTCTCCTTCAAAATGCCATAAAGCACACATAATTGAAGATCCTACGAACATATTCCACTAAATGACATAGTGGCAAAATACATGCATGCATGAGATATATAGTCAAATAATCAGATTGGTTCAAGTATGAGCTCTGAATATGAAAAAAAAAATCACTATGAGTGTCACCCTCTAACGGGCCTTGTAATGTGCGATCAAGATTGGGTGGGAAATAGGGTTGGGCATAAACACCGGATAACCGAAACACCGAATCAAATCAAATTATTTTGGTATTTCGATTTTTGGTTCGGTATTCGATATATATTTTTGTAATTTTTCGTATTTCAATTCAGTTTTCGATATGTAATTTTGTATTATTCGATATTTTGATTTACCGAAATATACTATATTATATTATATTATTAATATTATATTAATTAGTAATATTAAATAATAAAACTATAGACAAAATTAGGTCAAACTTTTTACTTTTCAGCTTTTAGCCTTTTACTTTTCAAACTTTTCACTTTTGAGATTTTTGTTTTCAATCTTTTCTTAGCAGTTAGCCGCACAGCCGCACATCAGTCACTTTATTTTCCCACTTTCCACTTCCGGCGACGGCCGATCAGCAACAAGCCAACGACGACCGGCCGACCAGCAAGCAGCAGGCCAACACGCAGGCGACACCCAGCAGGCAGGCAGCTCGCAGCACTGCAGCAGCCGACCAGCTCACGCAGCAACCAACCAGCAGCACGCAACAGCCGACCGGCGACCACCAGCGACCGAACTAACAAAAATCGAACTGAAATAACATAAATTGAACCGAAATAATAAAAATCAAACCGAACCGAAATAATTTAGTTCGGTGTTCGGTACACGTGGTACAAGAATCAAAAACCGAAAAAACCGGAAAAAAAAATCTAAATTGAACCGAATTACCGAATGTCCAACCCTAGTGGGAAACCAAAAATAAATTAGACTACTTTTTATATGAAGAAAAAAAGAGCATAAATTGCATTAGAGCAGTCAAAATGGGCTTAGCCCATGGGGCCGGTCCAACCCAACCCCGTTATTGGGGTAGGGTTGGGATAGGATTTTTCAAGCCCTTTTAAAACTAGGGCTTATAAGCCCAGCCCATATAAGCCTTTGGCCTTTGAGGCTTGATTGGGGGTGGACCAGGGTCGGCCCATGGGCCAAAACTTTTTATTAGGGTAACTTACAATAATCTAACTAATATGTAATATAATTATTTAAATACACGCTATGTCGTTATATTATGAATCTTACCAGATTTTGGTACGTCCAAATACATATATCTCGGAATATATTGACTCAAAATTAGGTTAATATGTTCTAGATACACTCTATCAAAGTAGATTCGCATGTATCTAGGATGCATAGACAAAATCTCGCACCCTCGCCTCCCTCCAATCTTGCTTATCACTTACTTATCTCACTCGCGTATCTGGTATGTGAGATACATGCTAATTACACTAGGCTTTTTGCTAATGTTATTAAAACAACACCATCGTTTATCATATTTGATTTGAAAATCTTCTCATTTTCTTGATGTTATAGAATAATTAGTTTGAAAAGAAAAAAAAGAAAAAAAAAGAAGGGCTAGCCCGCCCTAGCCCTCGGCCCTTCAAGGGTTGGGTTGGGTTGAGCATATTCAGGCATGTTATTAAAACAACACCATCGTTTATCATATTTGATTTGAAAATCTTCTCATTTTCTTGATGTTATAGAATAATTAGTTTGAAAGAAAAAAGAAAAAAAAGAAGGGCTAGCCCGCCCTAGCCCTCGGCCCTTCAAGGGTTGGGTTGGGTTGAGCATATTCAGGCCCTTTCGAATGAAGGGCCAGCCCGCCCCAGCCCTTCAAATTCCTTGGCCCACGAGGCTTGGGCCAGGTGGGGCTGGCCGGCCCTTTTTGACAGCTCTAAATTGCATGAGGAAAAATGAGTGAGGGAATTAGTAGAATCAAAGAATCAGATTTTATTCTCACATCGTCAAATGTGTATATATATAAATAGTAGTGTTCTTACATTGTCTATATAGCTCAAAATAAAAATAAGATTATATAGAAGCATATGAAGAAATGATCATAAAAGAAAAGGGTGTCTTACATGAAGGGTAAGTGCCTATTTGATAGCCAAGGATGACTTGCCTGCATCATTAATTAATTCTTGAGGCTAGCTTGTGATATATCATGTATATGACATGTATACAAGCATTCTTCTTTGATGGCCAGGCAGTCTCCTTGGCTACTCTAATAGGTTCCTCTCATTCATGCTAGACTCCTTTCTTCAAGTTTTAAATCTTAACGCCAGCATAATCATTGAAAGAGTATCTTCTTTTTCGCCACATCGCATCAAGGTGACAGGATTCGAACCTATGGCCCTCTGTACCCAAAACATATGCGAACTCTCAATTTGATCAGGAGAGCCTAGAGAGCTCTCTATCTTTCCTTCTTTAAAATTTAAAAAAATAGAGGCGGATTTAAAGTTTAAATTTTACAGGTTTACCTTTATATTTTGTATCAATTACATTTTTTAGGATGTGATAATCATGGTGTCTGCCTGTTTGGGTCAGTTTTCGCACACCTTAACTAATTCCACATACAAGATATTTCTCACCTCCCACCAACAATAAGTACTAGGGTGCTATCATTGAGACCTTGTGGTTCTTAATTTACTTCATTGACCACTGACTAGGTCACACGTTGGGTGCTATCCGTTGCATTTTAAAATTACGGTATAACTTGTGCTTTTTTCTTTTTATTTTCTATATGGAGACAAATCTAAGATTTTATATTGATAAGATGCATAAATATTCCATTACAAATTTACTTATTTGTCATAACAAGTAAATGTAATAATCCAATCCTTCGTTTTGAGTATTTGCACCCTATTTCATGATATGAAACTTCTCATAGGTTCTCATATATGGTGTTTTGGGATTTGTTGGGATTTGACTTTGACGGCATTCCTGATTCTTTTTCATGGGACAAGCACGTGAAAATTCTTTTTGATAATGGGTGATGGTGAGATCCAGGACTTGTGTCTGTTTTGATACCATACTAAAATGTGCAACCATTTCATCTAAAAATTTAAGCTATTAAAAAAATACACTTTTATTATTTAATTATATTCTGATTTGCTACCTAGATGCTTATATTATTTACTTACATAGAATTTATTAAACTTGTCTTTCCTTTAGCAACTACTCTTTGTTAGAAGGACACAAGGTGTTTGGTAGTAATGAAAAAAAGTTGGAAGGTCAAATATTTGTCTTGTAACAAGTTGTCCTTGTTCTAGTAAAGAACAATTTAAATATAAAAAATAAAATAAAGACCAAAGATTATTGGTTTTGTTGCCTAATTAAACCTTCTACTAATTGTATTCTATTTATATTATTCAGATTTACCTAATATTCCCTTTTTGGTTATCCATTCCTCTGCTTAATTCTATAACTTGTAGTAGTAATATTTTGGTGAAAATACATTGCTTTTTTTCTGTCTTTTTGGGAGGAAAAAAATACCTTATTTATTTTTTAGCTTATATGACTTTATTATGTGTAAAGCTATATATATCTTGTTTTAGTTGAACTAATATTTGCTTTTTCATAATCCTATATTTTAAGCTAAGTCACTTTGAACAACCAAGCACTCCACATTATTAATTAAAAATATTAAGTCATCAGATTTTTACATTATCAATTTAATTTAGTTGAATATAACAAATTAATATATGAATATTTAATCAGGGACGAAGCTATAGAGAAAGCTATGAGTTCAACGTCAGAATTAAGTAATTTTGGCCAAAATTATGTATTTTTGTTAAGATTGTCATCATCACTTAATATGTATAAATATTAATTATTTAAAACTTGATTAATGAATATTTTTTAATTTTGTTTTACTCAACTGCATTTTAGGATGTTTTTGTAAGTCTAAGTTAACCAGCAAGATATATAAATCTTTACTCTTATCAAATTGTATAGACTTCCTTAAATAGATCAGAATTGGCTATTTTAATTTATTCCTATTATTTTATGTGAATGAGTCTTGAGTGTCAATTTTTTTTACCCAAGAAGAAAAGTAATCACAAAAATAAAAAATAAAAAAATCATGAATATTTCCACCTTCAAATACTCGGGGTGAATCTAAGAGTTCGGATTCACATAAATTCAATTTTTTTGCAAATTTTATGTAAATATTAAGAAATTTATTAAATATATGTAAGTTTTCAATACTTTTATTAAAGCTCTGATTATTCTTAATTCACATCGCGTAAAGCCTATTTGATGAAATAATATGTTCGATGCTTGTCGTATCCGCCTTAATTCCTTTAACCAAACACACTATTGAATGATTGGTTGACCAAATCAACTTATAATATTCTCATGTTTCATTTAATTATTTTTATTAAAAAATGTGTTTTAGCTTTTATATTGTACTTATTATCCGTCAAGTCAACTAAAAAATAATTATAGATTGTATTCATAAGAAATAAAATGTGTAACAAGAAAAATAACTAAATTGTTTACTACAACAGATTCAAATTAATTATACACTATTAAGAGGGTGTTAGGATTGACTTAAAAGTTGGCAAAACTTATTTTTGAGTCAGTTTTTTATTTCTGAAACTATTTGACAAATATAAAAATAACTTAAAATAAGTCAAAAATAAGTTAGGAAGTATTTTACAAGGTTAAAATAACTTAAAATAAGTTTACAATGACTTGAAATAAGTTAAAAACCAAAAGTAGATTTTCCCTACTTTTTATTTTATGACTTAAAAGTCATTTAAATTTGACATTTTATTTTTGACTTAAAAATTACTTTTTTAAGCATATCCAAATGGGTTCGAAGAATGCTTTAAAAATTCTTCAACAATTAGGAATCACGATCAACCATCTGGAATGCATTAAAAATTATTTGTTCTCCATTGCGCATAATTTATGTTGCACACATTTTTTTTAGTTCGTTTTAAAAGAAGTAATGCACTTTAAATTTGAAAATAAATAATTTTACATTTTTATGGGGGGATTTTTACACATAAAATCGTTCAAATTGACTATCTAGGTTGTATTTAAAAGTCTCGCGAGTATTGAATTTTTTTACAACCATGTAAATTTCATATCAATTCAAACCTATGTATGTTACACATATTAACATGTATTGGAACAAAAAAAAAATTCCTATTTGGTGTCCGATATTATTAGTAGAACTCGAATAATTTGAATTTGCCCAGCATAAGGCCCTATTCGGAAAGAAGTGCTCTCTACCAAAGATTTTTTCATATTCAGACTCAAATCCGAGACTTCTAACTATTAAGAAAGGAACAGTCTCATCCATTGAACACGTTCTTTGATGGTGTATTGGAACAATTTCATCATTAGGTATTAAGTGGTACTTACTCAAAAATAAAACTATAACCACACAAATTCCATTTCAATTCAAACCTATATGTGTTACAACTTACACATACTCACATGTGTTGGAACAATTTTTATCTTTTTTTGGTTTTTCATCTAATGTCTGGTATTGGAGTCCAACTAATCTGGATTCACACCACGTAAGGACCCATTTGGGGGGAGGGGGAGGGGGGAGCAGCACTCCCTATTAAGAATTTTTTCAAATCCAAAGTTTGAACTCAAGACCTCTATTTAAGGGATAAACAGTGTCATCCACCGCACCACATCGAAGTATATGGGAACAATTTCATCATTAGGTAAAAAGTGGTACTTACTCATATTAGTTATACTAATCCTAACTTAAAAGCTACCAAATCCATCTAGTTCTCATTATACACTATATATACTCATACAATTTATCTCAATTTCATCACTACTAACCAACCTTCTTTACATACAAAAATTTCCTCTATAGCAAGTCTTTATTAGAATTTGAGTCATGGCTAAAATATTGAGTTTATTCATCATGGTCACATCTATTCTTGCTTTTGCACCAATATTATGTTTATCTAGCAAGACCAATTATTATGGTTACCTATATCCACAATTTTATGATTGGTCATGCCCAAATGCAAAAGAAATTGTCAAGTCTGTTGTTGCTAAAGCCGTAGCTAGAGAAGCTCGAATGGCCGCCTCTTTGCTTAGGCTTCATTTTCACGATTGCTTTGTCAAGGTAAATTATTTTTAGTCTCTTGGAAAGCGTAGGTGTCTGTTTTTATTTTCTAAAAAATAAAAGTGTTTAGCCTAAATATATAAGCTAGTCAAATTATGTTATAAATATCTTTTCTTATTACATATTTGATATATAAGTCGGTCATTCTCAATTTATGACTTTTCAACTTATAAATATTTTTAATATGACTAATTCTTTTTATTATTTTATTAGTTATTTACAATCAGTTAACTCAGACGGATTATCTAACTATGTATTTTTTTATTTTATGATCATGTAGGGGTGTGATGCATCATTGCTTCTAGACAGCAGTGGAACAATAATAAGTGAAAAATTATCAAACACCAATAGAAATTCGGCACGTGGATTTGAAGTAATTGATGAAATTAAATCTGCACTTGAAATGGAATGCCCTCAAACTGTCTCTTGTGCTGATATATTGGCACTTGCTGCAAGGGATTCTACTGTTCTAGTAAGTACAACTACTTTAAGCCTAACCTAAAGATTTCAATTTCCGATGAACTCAATAACTTTTATTTAGATTTATTTTTGTATTAGAAAATCTTTTGAGTATGCATAAATATATAATTGTGAATTCAGTAATTAAGACGAGTTATAAATTCGTGGTAAGTTTAAAAACTATAAACCTAGGGGTTGTTCAGTTAGTGGGACAAAGAATAACAATTCCTGCGAGATTATTTTAACTCTCGTTGATGAGTATTAATTAGTCTTGAAATACATTTTGTATTAAAATGGTGAGATTAACTATTCCATATAAAAAGTGAAATAGCTAATCTTATAAAATATCTTTGTCTATTCGATTTCAATCAAGTTAAAAAAGAAAAGTTATATATCCTATATAATTTAGTTGGTTAGTTACCATTTTGACAAGATTATGAGATAATTCTGATCTTATAGATTTACTTATAATTACTTTAATCTTATTGTATAACTATTTTTTAATTTATATTATTAGTATATAAAACTTAAGCTCGATTATTATTTATGCAGGCTGGTGGACCAAGCTGGGAGGTTCCATTAGGAAGAAGAGACTCAAGAGATGCTAGTATAAGTGGCTCCAACAATAACATTCCTGCTCCAAACAACACATTTAATACAATCCTCACTAAATTCAACTTAAAAGGGCTTGATCTTGTTGACCTTGTTGCTTTATCTGGTAAAATTTACTCTATTAGTTTAACGTTTATATATCTAAAAGATAATTACAAGTAAAGTGAGTAATTTATATCAAAAAATTGGTATAACTTTATACCATATCCAATGTGAAATAAAACTTTAAAGGATTATTTATTCTTGGATAAAACAAGTTAAATAACAAAACTTCCCTTCTATCAAAGCCCTTACAACTTTCAATTATGATCAAGGTTAAAATTGGAATTCAAATTTTTTTACAATATAAAATCAAACATATATTTTAGATTATATAATGTATAACCTAGTTATCACATTTAAAGAAATCATCATAAATGTTAAATAATCCATAAATTATTAGTATGTATAACAATCCCTTATATAATATTGTTCACAAACCAAATAACCTTTTTAGTATAATTTTGTTTTACTTTCTATATATAAGTTAAATCTTTATTAGATTTTAACTAGACTAGTTATCATATCTAGGGCAGGGCTAGGTAGAATGAACCTCTTCAACAAAAAAAAAATATTTTTATATATAGTTAAAAATATTTTTTGAATGTTAAGAGAGGACAATTACCTCTTGTTTCTGCTTCTCTTTTTTTGCTTCGGGGAAAAGAGGTCCTACGATAGGTAATAACAGGCACAAACAAGTTTTATGTATATAGTACATGTTGAACTCCTTTTGACTTTTTCGTGTGTTTACTTCTTCATATTTTAAACCTTAATTTAGTAAAAATCCTGACTCGAAAATTGTTGTGTAGGGAGCCACACCATTGGAAATGCAAGATGCACTAGCTTCAAGCAAAGACTCTACAATCAATCAGGAAATAATTTACCAGATTATACACTTGACCAATCATATGCTGCACAATTGAGCACTATGTGTCCAAAATTTGGTGGTGACCAAAATTTATTTTTCTTGGATTATGTCACACCAACAAAATTTGATAACAATTACTACAAGAACTTGTTGGCTTCAAGGGGTTTATTGAATTCAGATCAAATTCTTGTGACAAAGAATCAAGCAACATTAGAATTGGTGAAATTGTATGCTGAAAATAATGAGATTTTTTTCGAGCATTTTGCGAAATCTATGGTTAAAATGGGAAATATTTCACCTTTAACTGGATATAAGGGAGAGATTAGGAAGAATTGTAGATACATGAACTAAAAAAATTGGTTATTGTGTTTGATATATTTGATGTATTTTTATGTCAACATTGTTGTAAGTGTTTTTTTCTTATTTTTAATGGTTAGTTTGTATTCATCCTCATATATTAAGTTCATCTTGGGTGGCCTTTGTCATAGTGTGCTAAATGTTAATGATGGTTTCGTATATCTACTCATTTGAAGTACTTTCCTGGTAGATTTTAAAATGTATATTTAGTGGGTGTTTGATCGTGTTTTATTGTGAAATTTGAAGAAAAAAATAGTTTTTTTTTTCAAAGTGTAGAATGAAATTTGAAAGTTGTGTTTGATCATGAATACAAATTGGAGTTGTGTTTGACTTTTTATGAGTAATCTGGAGTGAAAAAGTGAAACACATTTTTGTTGTTTTTCAAATTCTTGAAAATTCTAAATTTTATGATCAAACGTGTTTTTCAGAGTTCAACTCCTAAAAAAATGAAAAAAAAATCATTGTCAAACGCCTCCTTAACATTATTTTTACTTGGTTTTCACACAGACAACCCCCTCCCCCCCTAAAAAAATATTTTTTCACACTTATCTTATTATTGGACAAAATTGAATCAATAGCTAGAAAAGAGGTTGTGAAAAAAAACAAGTAAGGCTTGCTCAAGTGGTTCAACATCTCTATTATCTACCGGTAGATTTAAGGGTTTGAATCATACTGGAAGGTAAGTGGAAATACTATTGATCCTCCGGGAATTTGGAAAGAGCGAAAAAAAAAAGACACTAATAGGCTTCTTGCAGAGAACAGATAAGGATTCTTGATGAGGCTTTTACATGAGGATATAGTGTATTTATATGTTGGCATTGATCCTCGAACTATTGTCAGTCTTAAAAACATCCCTTAACTTGACTAACTAAACTTAAATACACCCTCAATTTTGCAGCATGAATAAAATACACCCCCTAAATTAAATTCTTCTACAATTGCTGATTTTTGGAAAATTAAACAATGTATGAGAAGTTTCAAATAGTGAAACAGGGTCAAATAAGGGTTAGATTGTTACATCCACTTGTTATGACAAATGAGTAACTTTGTAGTGGTATTATACACCTTGCCAGTTTAAAAGTTTTAGATCCGCCTCCATACAAAAAATAAAATAAAGAGCACAAATTCTAGCATAATACATTAAAAATGTAACAAATACAACAATAAACATAAAAAAAAGTTGAACCAATGAAATTTTAATTCTGAATCCGCCTCGACTAAAGTAGAAGCTAAATAAGAAGAGAATAGCCTAGCATGAATGAGAGGAACCTATTAGAGTAGCCAAGGAGACTGCCTGGCCATCAAAGAAGAATGCTTGTATACATGGCATATACATGATATATCACAAACCTCAAGAACTAATGATGCAGGCAAGTCATCCTTGGCTATCAAATAGGCACTTACCCTTCATGTAAGACACTCTTTTCTTTTATCATTTCTTCATATGCTTCTATATAATCTTATTTTTATTTTGTAGCTATATAGACAATGTAAGAACACTACTATTTATATATACACATTTGACAATGTGAGAATACAAATCTAATTCTTTGATTCTACTACTTTCCTCTCACATTTTTTCCTCATGCGATTTATGCTTCTTTTTTTTCTTCATATAAAAAGTAGTTTAATTATTTGACTATATATGTCATGTATGCATGTATTTTGCCACTATGTCATTTAGGGGAATATGTTCATAGGATCTTTAAGACATTGGCCTTAATTATGTGTGCTTTATGACATTTTGAAGGAGACAGATTTTCAACGACAACAAAAGATTGTCAATCAATTTGTACTATATTTTTCATGGGGTCCAAGGGTCGACATTAAATTTTACCAGATTTAAAATAAGACTCTATGAGACGAGTTTGATCCCTGTTCTCAAATTCTAAGGTCCGCTCAAGTTTTATGAAAGCTACTTCACCCTAAATTTTAGCTCATACCTATAAAAAAGGAATACACATTTCATTGAGGAGACTTCTTGAATATCTCATAAACTCATGATATACTCATAGAGAGATCAAAGCATCAAATATTGTCTTTCAAAAAACTATTGTCAGACGTTCCTAGCGATCAAATACATTACAAAGAGGTCTTAATCATCCAACATTTGAGAAATATGTTATTAATGATCCTCGAATCATGGAAGGAGCCTAAATCATTCTACGTTCGAGAAATAAGCTATTAACGATCCTTAAATCTCAAGAAAACTCCAGAGAGAAGAATTAAGGAGATAACAAAATTGTAGCCACAATCTTGATAAATAAAATCACGTTCTTCTTTATAGACAGAAGAAAAGCATAATACCTTGAGACGTTCTCAACTTGACATTATTTATTTAGTTTATATCTGAATTATTTTTCAACATAACCTAAACCTAATAGGGATGTGTATCGATCGGTTCGGTTTTGAAGTTTATCGATTTTGCTTATTGGTTATCGGTTTGTAGAGATGCTAAACTGTTATCGAACCATTAAAATATTGGCTTATCAGTTATTGATTTATCGGTTTTTGATCGTTATCGGTTCGATTATCGGTTTAACCGTTAAGATTTGACAAAAAAAACATTGAAAATCACTTAGAAACAAGGTGACAAACTAAATGAACCATGCACATAAGTTCACAAGTTACATCTTGCTCAAAAGCAAACATTTTTACATTGTAGAATAATGAAGTGTTTGAGACAACCAGAAATAAAATTAAGAAACCAAACTCTAAGTCAAGGACTTTATATACAAAATGGTTTAAATATAATTATTTAATTTACTATCGGGTTATCTAACCCGTTAAGAAAAAATCTCAAACCGTTAAGAACCAATAACCCGATAAGAAAAAAAAATCAAAACCACTAAACCAATAACCCAATACTGATAAATCAATAACTTTTTTTTATTTGGGTTATCGATTTCAATTCGATTTTAAACACCCCTATAACCTAAGCATAATTTAAGTATGAAACTAATTTAGAGTTTAGGGGGGTTATGATCCATTATCTCTGCCCCTCTGCATTGGATTGCCTCCTACTTTCATCCTTTTTAATAGTATTATTTATAAGCATGATATAGGGTTCCTTAATTCACTTAAATTGTTTTCTTTTGGTGCTAATTAGACTAAAGGTTTCACTGCAAATAAAAACAATCCTTTCCAAATTGTGAGACTGAAAGAACTACACAGTTTTGTTTGGAATTAGATGGAGGATTTGTGACAAGATGGATTACTCATTTTTTGGCACTACCTTTGAAGTGCAATGATAACAAATGCTAGTAATATTCCCCATTCCATAAGCCAATACTTTTCAGCTTTGACCTCTCATAAAAAGATAGAATAAAATCTATGGCAGATATATTTGACTTGTAAAAGGGCTTTACTGTTATTTCAGGAACAAAAAACTTTGCTAAGAGAATCCAATAATAGCAACTTGTCGCCATTGCTACAATGAAAAAAGAAAAACTCACATGGTGTGTACACCACTTTAGTGTATGTATCATACGTTTATGCATACACTGCGATGACTTAAAACCATGGTTAATTAATATACATTCACATCTCAATTTGTCATGCTAGAACGTTAACATGTTCAACTAGTGATATCAACATGCTTGTAAACATGTTAGAATGTGTACTGTACATATGATGAATGTTGATCCTCAATAATTTTGAATGAGTGAACACAAGGATCTTTCGAGTGAGATTGAAACGACTAACCCTTTATCTCTTCAAGGATGACATAGAGAAACCCTGTAACAGCATATGTGAAGGTGGCAACATAGTATTTGCCATCTCCAAATTTGTAATTAGTTCCTTCACTTGAGATGGCAACATGAAAACTTCATCAGCTTGGTTTTTGGCCACCCATTCTTCTACGTTCCTGCATAAAGTTTGATTCAGCCAATGAGTTATGAGCTTTTGAAATGGATTGTAATGGGACTCATTGATATGAAATGCACAATTGAAATAAGAGAAGAAAGTGGCCAGGAACATGCAGCAAATGATAATGTTAAAGTAATAACAAATCATTGTCTTACTTTCAAGTTTCAACAAGTCCTACAAGATTTATCTAGATAACCTTCGGTTGGATTTCTAATGAAAACTACATCTTGGAGTGTTCAAAAACGATTTCTTTTCAAATTGGTAGCAACTATCTGATGCTATTTAAAATGCATGACAACAGTATACCTTTTTCAAAATCATCTCAGGAAGACAATAATTTAGTATTTCGTGCCAACTTATTGTTCTCTTCTTTAGATTCTTCACTACTGTATTTGCTTTACATACTTGATTATTTTGACATGTTTTACTTGAACCGAGGGTCTATAGGGAACAATCTCTCTATCTTCACAAGACTAGATACGTTGTTGTTGTTCATGCCAACTTACTTCAATATGGCAACTACTTATAGACTTTTAGTACAGTTCTTGAAACTTAGTTGGCGCACATAAAAGTACGTATCTTTGAACACCAACCTCCCCCCACAGCTTCCTCTTATGTTCCCCTGCCCAGCATTAAGGCAGAGATAGAGGAAGATAACCTATACATACATGTAGATGGCATCAAATGACAGAAGAAAAGGACAGCTAGAGTAGAGAGACAATCACCTGGGTTCAAGTTCCGTGTCATTGATGTTTGCAGAGAACAATAGCTTGACAACGGGGTACATATTAATCTTGGTTACTGGTTCCATGTTATGCATGCAATACCCACTGTAGCACCATGCATTTGGGTTAAGGAGAACAATTTGTGAAAGTGCACGTTTGGTGTGTATATCTCTGACAACGGTCCGAAATGTTAGTTCGTCTTGTGCAGCTTCAAGCAATTGACGTGAAAACATCCTTTCCAAAGTATACTCCCTGGAATCACACAGTGAGTTTATTAATACATCACGAAATCAAAATCAATCAATCAATTGTCCTCAAGTTCAAACTAGTTGGAGTTGAATGTATGGAATTTTTCGATATCCATTCCACTCTATTTGGGCATATTTCATTCCAATACACTGACGTATAGTCTTTTAACTAGGAACTCGTGATAAACACCAGATGTAATATGAAACAACTAAACGTGATCCAAACTAATTGCATCACTGATTTGGATCATTTGCCTTCTGAACTTGGTTAAGTTTGTATTGCTTCTCAGAAATTGTATCCCTCATGTAATGTCAAATCTGATAAGTCTCCTTTAACACCTGAATAATCAAGTGCCCACACCCAGATTGGCACATTTGAATATCTACGTGTGATGTGGCTATAATATCCTTTATGTGCACTACTTGCAGTAACATTGGATGTGATCATTTTAAATCTTGTAAACTTTTAACCTACATGCATTCATCTTAACATCAAAACTACTACAACACTTGTCTTAGAATATTTTGGGACTTAAAGGCCCAACATTCAATCTTACATGACATTGTTGGTCCCAAAAATGCTCTATAGAGATTATCTTTTACTTTGTCAGATATCTTCCTTATGCATAGCACATCAGTAGTGGAAATACATGAAAGACAAGAGGAAATAAGCTCTATCCTGAGAATGTCTCTCTATCAGGGAATAACTTGTTCGACTCTCAGATAGGCCAACATCTAACTTATGGCACTAGAAAACTATTTAGCAATTACTGCGCCATTGACAAAGTTACCATTCTCATCTAGTTTTCAGCTTTCTAAAGAGAGATAGAAAGACATCAACTCCATGAAATGTTATTGGGCAAGAAACATATAACAAAAGGACACATCTATTTAACAAAAATTCCTATTTACAGGTTCCATATGGTTTCAAGAACCACAAGTTGGGAAAGAAGTTTGAGTTTAGAAGAAAAATATAAGAGAATACACTACAAGATAAACTAAATCTAAGGGGGGAATGATAGATGGTTACCTAAATAGATCATTCAATCCACGAACAGGCAAACAAGTAGATATGTTAAATTTGTATAGTCGAACTCCATCATCTAATGGTGCTTTATCACTGGAGCAAGGATATGCTCCAATAAGAGATGAACATTTTGGACAGAGAAATTCAATCCACTTGACGTCTTTGGAAAGATTGGAATGTCTCAACATAAAAGCATCCCCAAGGCAGCCTTTAAGAAATATTTTCTGCTTATCTAAGAGTTCAGTATTCAGTTCATATTCTTTCTCCTTTGAAAAGCTCTCACTAAGATTATTAGTACAACAGCCAGTATTATGGCTTTTAGTGTCACAGTTTGCCTCGGAAGAAATTCCAGCCAATGACTTCATTTTGTCTTCATCCTTCAACTTTGAAGGTATGCATGTTGAACTATCACCATCAATCATCATTTTAACAACTTCATTGTTTGGTTTCACCCCATTATTTTCTTCCTCAGGACAAGGTCTTAAAGAAGTCACCTTGGCTGAATTCACCTGAGAATCATAAGTTTGGTCCCCTTTCAACTCAGGAAATTCACAGCCGACGAGGTCCTCTTTGCATATGATAACAGATGCGCCAGTTATAAGGCAAACACCAGTTGTACAAGAATATGACTTTGCAAATTGCATGACTAGCTGTTCACTTATACCACCAAACGAGCAACAACATGTCCCAAACCAATTGTCTGCAACATCTTGCCAGTCGACTGATGGCATCTCATTAAATAATCTGTTAAAAATAAATATTTAGAGACATGCAATGGCAGTCATGTAAAATAAATAACGGCATTTCCTGCCCGACTGAGAGAAAGAAAAGCCCTACCTGATACCCTTGGTTAACTTAGTTGAGCAACTTCTGCAGTAAAAATGAACTTCCTCCATAGCAGATAATTTCTTTATTTCTAATCCAACAAAGCAGAATTAATAAGAGTGAAATAAAATAAATGAACAAGAAGTTCTACAAGTGTCAGAATGCAAATAAGGGTAGACTCATAGAGTACGTTAAGCAGTGATCATAACTGTTTGCCAAAAACATAAAATCAAAGCAAGATGACATGGCAGTTTCTGCATTACAAATCACCAGTCCCTCAATGATGGAATACATAAACACATCAAAGGAGATGACAGTTTCTGCATTACTGTCTATTCCTTTTTCTTTAGACTTGGTATCACAAGAGAATCAAGTCTTTCACATTCTTTTGACAAGTAGTTAACACGTGTTTTAGAACTTTAAAGTTGTATTTTACACTCCCTAAAGTGATTCAACAGACATAACATGTTATGTTGATCAAATCCTGCAGTTTGAGTCTTGCTACTTGTTGGAATACCTCACAAGCATACAAAAGTGAATTCTTGACAAGCTTTATACATAAATATTATGAACTGTTTAATCCCATGGAAAATTTTCAAATTTGTCTTCCCCACCCATCCACCACACAAAAAGGGAAAAGTCCTGCTCTATCTTCTGCATATTGACAACCGTAGGTGGACTTTCATGAAGATCAAGAAAAAAAATTAATAATTAGTTATTGCACTCTAGTACTTTGGGGACAGAGGAGTATGTAGCAATATAGTTATAGGTTCAATTCAACACATAGCTTTTACATGGAACATAAACTTATGTGCAAAAATTTACTAAAATTGCAATACATGGTAGATATGAACCCATAACTTTAAAAATATAATGAGTGCAATGCTAATAATCTTAAAATTGAGCCCATAGAATTCAAATTCTAGATTTGCCTCTGGTTAGGGATACATTAAAATAGTATCTAAGAGATGCAGAAGAGAAGAAATCACCAAACTATCACACCCTTTGGTGCAACAAAAAAAATACTTGAGTACTAATCTATGGACTATGAAAAGTATACAATATCATAATCATAAGTTGTAAAATGGTAAGATTCCTTTAGATGTATCCCAATGTATCAGCCAAGCACCACTAACATCATCAACTACAACATACCAGTGTAATACCACAATTGGGGTCTCGTGATGATAGAGTGTACTCAAACCTTAATCCTAACTCAGGCAGACAGGTTGTTTCCAAAAGACCTTACCCAATGTAACCACAATTGGGGTCTCATGATGATAGAGTGCACCCAAACCTTACTCCTAACTCATGGAGGCAGATAGGTTGTTTCCAAAAGACCTTACCCAGTGTAATACCACAAGTGAGGTATGGGGAGTGTAGAACTGGCTCAGGTGCAGCAAATGAAACTAGTTATGAAAAAGGAAATACAGCAGTGAAGAGTAACAATAGCTAAATAATGAGCTAACATCCAAATTCGCAAATATAAAACCGAAACTAATCAATTTTAAAAAAACATTTCTGACTAACCATAATTCACCGAGAACGGAAAGAAAGTATCTGAGTCCGGTTTTTCCTCCTCCGGTTCCGATAAATCCAATCCTGAAATGAGCGGATGATCAACAGGAAGAAGAAGAGAAAGCTTAACTTCAACATGATCATCAAATACTCTGCAATGAACCGGAGCTTCCGGGTCAATTAAAACCCGAGGAACTGGTACCCGAACTGAATCCCCTTCGACGAAACAGACAGTGAGCAGAGATTTCTCCACAGATAAATTGACAGTGATTTCGGTACAAGATTTGATATTTGAATTGAAAAGGATTAATCGGAGAGTTGAAGTGTGAGATTGAGCTTCCCATGTGAATCGCCATTTGCTGCTGTTAGGGTTTTCAGTAGAGGCGGGAAACACAATTTCAGATGAAGAAGACATAATTTTGATTGTTGATTCCATTGGGTGGAAAATTGAAATTTTGTTAAGATTTTTTTGGGCCCATCTTACATGGATTTTCATTTTTAGCCCAATGGATAAATAAGAAAATTTGGCATGATTTAGAAGGGGAAACTTTCGCAAATAGCCACTAAAATAATTTTTAATTATGCTTCATAACTAGGGGTGCGCATCGGTCGGTTCGGTTCGGTTTTAGGTGTTATTGGTTCGGTTTATCGGTTTTCGGTTTGTAAATACGTCAAACCGATAACCAAACCAATAACATATTTCTTATCGGTTTATGGTACTTAACGATTCGGTTTTTGGTTTAACCAATAAGAAAATACTCATATATATTATAAACACAATAAGAAAATTTTCAAATAAACCATATGATTTTTCCAGCATTTGGCATGAAAGTAATAATCATAAAAGTAACAATCATTTTCTTGCAAGTTTAGACACTAGACACATTCAAAGGAAAAAGTGTGAAAGTAACAATCGTTTAACCATTAACAAAAAGTGTGAAAGTAACAATCGTTTAACCATTAACAAAAAGTGTGAAAGTAACAATCGTTTAACCATTAACAAAAAGTGTGAAAGTAACAATCGTTTAACCATTAACAATAAGACTAGTAAATTTAGTATAGTCTTATTGGGTTATTAGTTTAACCATTAACAAAAATTATAAAACCGGAAACCGAACCAATAACCCAATAAAAAAATTTGCAAAACCGTTTAAAAACCGTTAGCCCAATAACCCAATATCAATAAACCAATAGTGTTTTTTCGGTTCGGTTTATTGGTTAAATCGGTTTTTGCACACCCCTATTCATAACTATAGTTTGCTAATTACGATACATAGCTACATGTTAGAGGAATGAGAGTGGCGAGCGAGTTGTATATGTATATTTGTTGAATTGTATATGTATACCTATCAGATAATTGTATATATGTAACGGATATACATATGTATTTGTAAATCTAGCGAGCAAGATTGGGAGAGGGAGGAGAGAGACGAGCAAGAGAGGTGATTGCATTTGTATATTTGTCATATAATTATATATGTATATGTATAATTGTATTTGTATAATTTGTATTTGCACATGTATAAGCTAGGAGAGACGCGAGAGAGGAGAGAGGCGCACGTAATTATAGCTAAAATTAAGCTGAAAGCGATAATTAATTCAAACTATACCTATGTAAGTTAATTAATTTTCTCATTTAGATATATTTGCACTTTAATGAACTATGGGCTTTCCCATTCATTTGGAAATTTGACAAATGTTGAGATTCCTCAACTTGAGCAACAATTTCAGTGACCTAACTAAGCTTCCCGATACCATTGGTGATTTACTAGAGACCCGATCTCTACTAACAGGAGAGCCTCCATCTCAAAATACTGTCGGTGCTAAGTAAACTCCCAATGAAAATAAGATAAAAATCTAAAGGAACAAACAAATTCAGGAACTACCTAATAAAATTAGCCTGCTTGACAACTAACTATGCTTAAGTTGGACAAAAACCCTCTTGTCATTGACACCTCCACATGAAGTTGTAGTATTTTTTTTCATTGAAAACCGATACAACCTCCAACCTATTGGGATATCATTAAAGCTCTATATATAAGACAGTGTTTTTTCCTTGAGCAGAAAAAAACTTTTTTTTTTTTAAATTCTTAACCAAAATCTCTGACAAAAGTTGTCGTATGATTTTCAGGAGCGATTTTCTTCTGACAAAAGTTGTCGTATGTTAAAAAAAATAAAAATCGCTGCTAAGATCGCTGCCAAGGTAGCGATTTTCTCAAAAAAAAAATATTTTTTTCTTGATTTTAGTTAAGAATTTAAAAAAAAAATAAAAAATTCTTAATTTAATATTCTTTTATTATTATTTATGATATATAATTCAATTTTTCTCATGCTTCAACAATTTTATTGAGTATACTGTCCGTCTTGTTTATCATTTTTATATTATTAATAATTAACAATAGACATGAAAATAATAGCACCAGGCATGAAAAACGCTACCCCTGCAGCGATGTGTAAGGAAAAAAAATATTCTGACTTACAACAGCGATTTTTTTTATTTTTTTTTACGAAATCGCTGCTGTGGCAGCGATTTTTAATAAAAAAAATAAATTACAAAAATTCTAAAAGGGAAGCGATTTTTCGTCATTGTGTCAGAGGGAAATCGCTTCGTCAGGAGCGATTTTGCCCTTTTAGTTTTAAAAAAATTTGATGTGCCCTTTTAGAATTTTTGACAATTTTTTTTGTCCTTTTGGCTCCGGACTCAAATAATAGTCCACAGTCACAGGCTGTGTAAGTTGTGTCATTGTTCTAAAATACTGATTAAGTTAATTAAACAAATTAAATGTGAGGGCCTACCTCCATTCTTTGCTTTATTCTGGTGAAAACAGATTGATCTTTAAATAATTATATTTTTATTAGGAATCATTAATTGTATTTTAAGGTGATAGAAAAAAGAAATTGCAATAAATAAATTTAAAAAGCCTCACAAGAATATATTTTTCTAATGGACTTGCATATGTAAGACTTCTTTAATTAGTCTTAAAAAATAATCACATGATTCAGTGCATGTACATCACAATCACATACAAGTTGGAGTTATAAGGTATTCAACTATTTTTTAGAGTTTCAAGTTCAAAATTTTCTATATGTTTTTCCGATTAAATTGTTACACGAATTTGCTTTCTACATATTATTTTGATCGAATTTATTATATGAATTTATCTACTATGATTTCTTTCACATATATAATTTACGGATTATTATACTGAATGAAAATTTATCTTATGCACACAACAAAGAATAGCATTTTTGGATTCCTTTGTTATTTAAAAAAAAAGGTATTCAACTACTCTACTCAATAATTCATATGTTAATTGATATCTCAAGCGATAACCAAGACCTACTTTTGATATCATAAATTTTATTTTAATTATACTTAACATCCTTTTCAATAAATTAATAATGTCATTATCAATATAATATTCTAAAACAAACTAAGATGATCTTAACAACTTTAATTTTAAAAGTCTCCATTTTCCAACCAAAGACCAACCAAATCCTTCCACCAAAGATATTAAAATAATAAGAGAAAAAAAAAATGAAAACACGGATGAGAAGATATATTGAGTACACTCTCATGGTATGAAGGGAATTATTTTCATGGAAAGTAATTTTTGAAAAATATGTAGGTTTTTAACATATTTTTTAGTGTTTGGTAAATAAATAAATTTAAAATTATTTCAAGAATATTTATATATAATCTAACAAAATACTATAAAAGTGACAGTGGGTGGAGAATGAGGCCTCGAGGGTGATAGGGGTAGGATGATCAAGGCATGGAGGTTAAGGGTTTACCCCGCAATGTTGTTGGGTGGGTGGGGAGGATAATAAAGTTAATATGTATAATAACTTATATATACATATCTGATATCTGCTTTGGAAACCCGACTAATCGAGTTCATCTAGGAAAGTCACTCTATTGCATATTAAAATGATATCATTAAATACAAATTTTCTAATTAAGAATAGAGAGATACTTATAACTTTTCTATAACTTTTGAAGGTTAAAATACCCATGTGTATAATAACTTGTATATGTACCAACAAGGTTGTGGTGGTGTGGTAAGGACTCTTTCATTCTTAATAGGAGGTCTCAGATTTGAGTCTTCCTGGATACGGAGTCGTCTTTGTTAGGGAGCGTCCCTCCAATACGGATATCAGACACCGGATAGAAAAACGTATATATATGCAACATAGCTTTGAAAGAGACAATTAACCATGCTTATTAATTATTCTCATTAGACAAAATTATTTGCTAGGTTGTTAATTTTGATTGTGTACATACATTATACATCATGGTTGTCCTCAATTATTGTCTCTTAGAATTTGTTAGCCTTCTCAAACCTTTTTATTAATATAATAAATTAGAGGGAAATAGGGAAGAGGAGGAAAATAATCTAAATAGTGATAGTAAATTTGAACACACTTATTATATAAGAGACTCCTATCAATATCACTAAACTTTAAGTCATGATTTTCAACAACTTGCATATATTTAAATGGGAGACATCCCCTTAAGCTATAAATTTGATCCTTATTATAAAATAAAATATGTCAAATTAATAGGAAAGGTACCATAATGATGCTGCATAGACTGAGCCATCATTTTCTTCAAGTGGATGATGGATGACACACTACATTATATATACTACTATATAGTTTTTGTTGAGAGGTTCATGAGGTCATCTAATTCAAAATTTGCAAGTTTCTTGAGTACAACCCATTGATTCATTTATAAAAGAAAGAGATAATCAAAGCACCTCCTAGATTATGACCGAAATCTCAGAAACACACTTTAACTAAACTAAGATCCTACCACTCCCCCACCCCCACCCCCCAAATCCATTTTTTTTTTGTAATTTTAGTACACCTTTTTGGCTTATGTGGCATCCAAACATATCCCATGCGGCTCAATTACGTGGAGTCACATAGTGTTTCACGTAAGTCAAAAGGTATATAAAATTACAAAAAAAGAGTTTCAGGGGTAATAAGACCTTAGTTTAGTTAATGATGTGTATCTCTGAGATTTCGGTTATAGTCTAGGGGTGCTTATGCTAAAAGAAAATAAAAAATTTGAAACTTTGGATTATTCCCTTTTAAAAATTGTGTCACTCACCATATTATCTCCTATCTAGAAATAGTTAGGTCTAGTGTCACTTTGTTGTATTGTCTCCATTTTTTTAAAAATATTTTGCCAATGATTTAACCCTATACTCAGCCATATTTTATGTGTAATCCTTTTTCAGAAGGTCCAAGAGGTTTTCAACCCTTCAATTAATTAAAGGGTTTATAAATAAATAAAAGCCATCAATCAATTTTGCGAGTAAATTTTATCTAGACACTTGAACTATTACAGATTTCAACTAAACATCTAAGTACATGATAAAATATTTATGTTAGACAATTTTGATTCAAATTTCAGTAAAATGAATTTGTACATGTCCTCAAGTGTTTATTATGTAGTTAAGTTTACTACATAAATGACAACTATTTTAATTATACACATCAACCTCAATTGGAATATGCTTGTATGATTAAAACAAGCGATATATTTTAAGTGATTAATTTATTTACATAATGAGTACTTGAGAACATATACAAAAGTTTTTCAAAACATTAAACTGAAAGTGTCAAATAGAAACACTTTATCAGATGTTCAAGTACTCAATTAAAACAAACCATAATTTGAAGGTCTAAATGAAATTCACTTGAAAAGTTCAAAAGGTTAAAAGGTTATCGATGTATTAATAAGCCTAAAATTCATATTATTGCGAGTGCACCATATGCTATGCACCAATAATATTTCAATTCCAAACTGATCTAAAACCATGTCTGGGCATCCCAAGGCTCAAATCGAATCATACCAATAAGTCATAAATCCTAATATCAAGCTATAAACTAATTATGTCCAACCAGAAAATGAAAGTGTCAGTGGTGGAAATGAGGATGCTGAGGTGGATATATAGACATATTATGAGAGATAAAATTATAAATGAGGATATTCGTGGCAAGTGAAAGTGGCCTCCATGGTGGACAAGAAAAGGAAATGAGGTTGAGATGGTTCAGACATGTAAAGAGGAAATGCTTAGATGCCTCAGTGAGGAGGTATGAGAGATCGAAAATAGAGAGTCTAAAAGAGGTAGAAGTAGATCAAAGAAATATATTGAGGAGAGATAATTAGACAGCACGGGACAAATTTTCACAAAGACAAAAATATAAAGTGCTTATTTTTCATTTGCTCAAGTTTGGATGGAATTATTCGGTGTTTGTGATGGTGAAAAGTAATAGATACCTAATACAATAATTAAAGTGTGCGCAAACTAGCTAGAAAAACTATTTTTTTTTAAAAAAGAAATTATTGCCAATATGGTAATGGTACATCCCAACAACATTGAAAATAGACATTAAACCAAAAAAAATACAAATAGAGAAGTGTGTGACACAAACACACAATAATTGAACTTGCATTATCTCTTTAAAATAACACAAGAGACAAGCCAAAAAGGAAACTAATAATTATCAACCATTTATTTATTTTGAACCACAAACATTTTACATTAATATTTTTGTTACAAAATGACCAATTCATCATCACTCATCAGTACATGAAGGAATCAGGAGAAGCCATAATAGATTGATTCACATTGAGCAAATTCCAAGGGTTCAAGAAATCATCTAGTTCATGATGATAATTAATAGCTATGTTGCTCGGACTCTGTAAACATATTGTCGTTGGGTGAATGTCAGATCCTCCAAAAGTACTAGTGCATTTTTCGAGGCTCCGACTAGAGTTTGTGCAACTTATGATTTCATTTAAAGATTGTAGCCTTTGGTTTAACTCAACCAATTGAGCTCTAAGAATTGAGTTTTCTGCTTCCACATTTAAGAAAAGATGTGTCATCATGTTTATATTTGTTGCAATTTGATTGTTTTGTTCCTTAAATTGATTTACTTGAGATGTTAAATCATCAGAAAGTTTTTGCTTCCTCATTCTTGATCTTCTTGCTGATTCTCTATTTGATATCATTCTTTTTCTTTTTCTTTGATCTATTACTTGTTGAAGATCTTCTTGACTTGATCCTGAAGTAAAAGAAGCCATAATTCTATAGAATTAATTGATGGTGTTGGAACAAGGCAACCTCTTTATTGGACCCTACGTGGCGCCAATCTGAATTAGTAGAGTCGGTAGGCTAATTTTGTTTGGATGGTTGAATCACTTTTATTGGGTCCTATGTGATGTGAATGTGGATTGGTCCGGCTTTTAAAAGGCCATACATAACGTGAATCTGGATTGGTCAGGCTTGTGGATTCAGGATGACAGATGGTCAAAGAACCTTTTAATAAATCTTACACGATGCAAATCTGAATTAGTACCTTGAGTTTGTGGATTCTGAATAACAGATTGTTAAATCACCTCTAATGGATTAGTTGGACTAATTTATTCCGGACCAAATGGTTAAACTACATTTAGTGGATTCTATGTGATGCAAATCTGAATCAATTGTAGTTCCAATTATAGGGAAAAAAGATGATGGCGTGACTAGGGAAAAGTTATCAATGATGTTCTAATGGCCCTACGCAACGCGAATCAGAATAAAGGTAGAAACTTTTTTTCATGAGAACATGTAGAACCAATAAAGGAAGGACACAGAGAAGGATTGGACTAAATGTGTACCACGACGAAGAGTTGAGTTTATGGTGAAACCGGAAAGAAGGACTTCACTAATTATCGGAGACATGGATACCAAACATCAAGAATCAAAGTAGAACCAATATGCCTTAGCAAAAAGAATCATGAGCAATGTCTAGTAGAGTCTTGACGACTTAAAATAAAATACAAATTGGGGAAGATGAAAATAAGAGAAGGGGATATTATGGAAGGGGAGTTTTAGAACCTATATAATATGGAAGAGATAAGAAAGGAAAATAAAATAGGAGAAGTTGAAGAGGTTTATGGTAGTATAGGAGAACCATTTATATAGAATTGTAAGTGCCCATTGAAGGAAATAAAAAGGTAGGATGAGTATAGGTCAATTAAATATAAAATTCGAAAGAGTTTTAAGTTAAGACTAAATGGTCAAAAATAATATTATTTTTTTGTGAGTTTGATAGCTTAACCATTAGTTGTTGTCTTTTTTTTTTTTACATGAACTATTATTATTCAGGTATTAAAATACATCTAGTTGAGTACTTGGTAATACTTTAGGTAAGAAAAGGGAACCTATATATTTGGTCTAGTCAGCTTTGATGTGTGTTTTAATTCATAAAGTGATAGCTTAGATGTATATTTAATCATTTTTCTCTTTATTTGGTTTGTGTGATAAGGAAAAATAATCTCATATTAAAATGCAGGATTATTTTATCTCGAATTTGTATGAATGATGAGGTTAGTTATCCCATATAGAAGGTGAGATAGTTAATTATAATATCCTTGTCTATCCAATCTCGATAACCAAACGACTCCTAAGTATAAGAATTTTTATATTATCAATTATTTTTAGCTATTGAAGAAAATAACTTATCTTGTTTTTGAGATTACAAGTATCGCATTTTAAGGAAGCATACTCATTGATATTTTTGAAGTGACATGATTGTGTAATTTAATTTTTTATACTGACAATATATATAAACAAATAAATAAAAAAGCTATAAAACTCTTATTTAATTATTCCATAAGATACATATTTCAAAAAATAATTTCTCGTTTAATCAAGGTATGACTAAATATTTCGGACAAATTTTTTTACTCTTTTCTAAATTTGATAGAGAATAAGTACAGAAAAACTCTTTATTTATAATTTTAGTTTGTCCTAACCTATAACAACATATCATAAATTCATAATCAATACGTAGGTTACTCGAATGATAGCCACCCGTCACCTTTAATAGTATAAGGTAGTGTGTTTAAGTCATCGAAGGAGTAAAAAGGATGAAAATTCCTAAAGAGAAGTTTTTTTTAAAAAAAAACTTAAAAAACATATTAGTTGACCGCGTCGAGTCCCTCTTGAACTTGTTCTAAAAAGTTGAATACACACTCAAACTATTGTGTCGAGCTATTACATACTTGTACTACTCCAAAAACTCATACTATGCTACGATTACAAGTGTTACAACTTCTTTTATTACAAACTTGTACTACTCCAAAAACTCATATATACTACTCCATCAATTTCAAATTAATTGAATTGTTGAGACATTTTTCATTTTTCAAATTAACTTAATTGTTCAATTTTCAAGACTACTTTTAAAATGTTTTTTCAATTTTACCCTTCATTAGTTAGTATTGAAATTAGTTATTAATTAATTTTTAGTTATTTTAATCATAAATTTGACAGGATAAAAATGGAAGTTATGCCTAATTTATGTCTTAATCTTCTTTTCTTAAAGGGTGTGAAAAATCTCAACAATTCAATTAATTTGAAATAGAGGAAGTATGCTACAATTATAAGTGTTACAACTTCTTTTATTACATAAATTCACTTTTAAGTAATAGTGTAATAAATCGTCACAATAATTTGAGTGTCCATTCAACGTTTCGGGACAAGTTCATTAGGGAGTTGATGTCTTTTCTCAAATATTTATATTGCATCTTGGATATTGGATATATTATTTTGATCTCGTGAAGACAAGTCAAGGAAGGCAGTCTCTCCGTTCACTTTTATTCGTTCACAATAAACTCCGCAGAACTAATAAATGAAATGCATATATTATTATGATACTCATATTAGTTGACGCATAATTTTAATGAATTGAGAAATTATTTGGAATGGACAGTTAATGCTATGGGCAAAACATAAAAAAATATTGTCTTTATTTTAAATTGTTAAAAACTTTTCAGTTCTTATTTGGTTGACTATTCGTCTTTCTGGCTACTCTGTCTTTTGAGTTTCTTCTTCTTCTTTTAAAGTTCACTTAATTTATTTTTAACATACATTTACCATTGCACATTGCATGCATACTCTAATCTTGATGTCCTTATGGAAAGAACTGATCTTATCAAAGCCTTGAAATACTATAAGGTATAATATGAATAATTTAACTTTTATAACTTAGTGTGTATATATAATTTAGTTTATTGTATTTGTGTTTTGCATGTCTACTTTTTCATCTACCTATATTGTTTCTTTGTTTTTGGCATAATACATATATAAACACATTAGCTTGGCGTCAACTGACAACTTTGAAAATCTACATTTACACATTTTAACTTGGTTTAAGTTGCCCTCCCATGTGAATTCTCATATATAGTGCCTAGGGGGTGTTTACGAGGTCAACTTAAACCAAGTTGAGGTATCTAGATCAGAGGCAGAGCTAGGTGGGGTTCATGGGTTCGGATGAACCCAGTAGCTTATTCGTAAATCTTGTATTTGTACTAGAAAATTGAATAAATATTTATATGTACATTAACTTGTGAACCCCTAATAAAATTGATTGACATGGAAATGCTTTCTATGCTAGAGTTACGGGTTCGAACCTCACTATCAACAAAAAGTTAAGTTTCTCTTTTTTTAGAACCCTCAAACTCCTAATCATGGCTCCGTTTCTGATCTAGATGTGCATTTTCAAAGTTGGAGTGTTTAGTTGTGAGTCGAGGGCTTGAGGCTATGTGATTTGTCTTTGTAATGCTCTCTTTTTATGGTTCAATCCTCTCCAGGAAGCAGTCAAATTAAAACCTAACTCCGTAGATGATTATTTGGGCATGGGAAATGTATACAAGGTAAGTCCTCTTGCATTTTGTCAATAAAGTGACGAAGCCAGTATTTTCACTAAGAGGGCTCAAAATATAAAAAAATATTTTTAATCTTGTATACAAATTTAGTTTCAGACGAAGGGGATTTGGATGAACCCCTTGCGCCCTCCTAGCTCCGCCCCTGCCCACAAGTTCTTGCACAAGTGATATACAAAGATAAGCATCTTCATTGCATTTTTCAGGAGTTGGGAATGCTCCAAAAGGCCATAGTGTGTTACCAGCGCGCAATCCAAGCGCAACCAGATTATGCAATGGCTTTTGGTGAGACGCCACGTTTACTCTGTTGAGTCCTACTCTTATATAGTCTTGGGCAATCCTCACGTCTTGAGCTATCTTTGCAGCCTACTTGGCTGATGTATACTATAAACAAGGAAATCTTGAAATGGTAATACGTAATTATAGGAGAGCTATTGCCCGTGATGCAGAATTCTTCGAGGCATATAACAATATGGTACTTAATTAGTTCATAAAATTCCTATCATATATTAACATTTTCTTCCTATATTAATTTTGTATGATCTCAAAAATGTTGCTTCTAGGGTCATGTTCTAAAAGATGCTGGTGAAGTGCAGGAAGCAATTCATTGCTATCATGTAACTTTGTGCTTTGTCATTTGCTTTAATTTCCTTATTGTTAATCTGCTATGTGACACTTTTTGCTTTTCGATAATCAGTTTGACTAATCGTTGAAGCTAGAGCAGCTCAATAGTTTAAAACTAAAATTCTGATATTGAAAAACCATTTGATAAGTACTATAAATTGCAATTCTTCACATGTTAATGTGATGAATAGATACATTTTAAAATGTCGGTCAAATTTCACGTAGTTTGAATCTCCAGAAGTGAAAAATGTCACATAAATCGGGACAGAAGAAGTAGTTTCTGATGAATGCATGAAGCAATGCATTTATGATGTTTTTCAACTTTTCTGATGAATGCATGCAGCAATGCCTCTCTCTTCGAACTGATCATCCAGAAATACTATCCAATCTGGGAAACGTTTATATGGAGCGGTAAGATTTTGCTTAACAACATCGATTCTCTTCTGGACTATATATGCCAATCTAAGTAATTTCGATGAGCTATTCATATTGACTCTAGGAACATGATGAGTGCTGCTACACAATGTTATAAAGCTAGTTTAGCTGTCTCAACAGGGCTCTCAACTCCTTTTAATAATCTCGGCATAATAAATGTGCAACAGGTAAATATTTAGTTACTACATCCCAAGAATGTTTAATTTGCAAATCAGTACAAAGCATTTCTTGTACATTTTTTTGGATAGCTAGGAGGGACTATCTTATTTACGATCACTAGTGCCATTTGTGTATCTGTTTTTTTTTCCGCAGACATGAATGTTTTCGTCTTTTCTGATGTAATTTTAAGCGAAATTATGCACAAGCCATATCATGCTTTAATGAGTTACTCAGAATAAACCCCATGTCAACTATACGAGAGCTATTGCCATAAGACCAACCATGGAGGATGTTCATGCGTTGTTGGCTTCAGCTTACATGACAAGGTTTTGTTGTTAAGGTTTACAAGCTTCAAAATTAAATGGTTCCTTTTATACATAAAGTTTTGATTTTCGGTGTAGTGGCAATGCTGAAGCAGCTATAAAAGGCTATAGAAAAGCTTTGATGCTATGTCCTGACTTCCCCGAAGCAACTTGTAATCTTCTTTACACGTTACAGGTACGTTATAGGTACTTATGCAGTTCATTTAGAATTCATGTCATGATCTGTTTGCTTAGTCTGATTAAGATTCTTGTTTATATTTCGTATTTTCTAGTGTTGTTTGTTAGGATTTGAAACTTTTAGAGAAGAAAATAAGGTTCAGCAGCAGAAACTTTCATACATATTCAGCTTTTGAAAGCATACACACATATATCTACATAAGCTTTCAAAGTTAGTAGAGGACCATACATATCCAACCACTATTGACTTTCTTACAAAACATATTCCATAAAACAAGGACTACCTTTCCTTTACATACTTAACATAATATTTAAGAAAATAACAATTAAACAAAAAGACATCTAGAAATATCTCATTTTCTAACACTCCTCCTTGAGATTTTTCTTGGATACTCCCAACTTAGCCCTTAGAACTTCAAATTTCCCCTTAGGAAGAGCCTTGGTCATGATGTCTGCAATCTGCTGATCTGAGCTGCAATGAACAAGCTGAACTTCGCCATCCTTCTCTGCTTGCCTGA